AATGGTCCAAATGATGGCAGCTTTCATGATAAACATTTTATCTGATGAAACATCATAAGTTGGTGTCCCAACGGCCCACAGTTCTTTCATCTCCTCGATAAGGGGTTGGAGATAAATGTCTATCTTTCGCCCAGGATCCTTGGAACCCGGACAAATTAAAGACAAAAATATGAAATGACTTTTCATGCACATGTCGGGAGGGAGATTGTAAGGAGTTAACATGACCGGCCAACATGAATAGTTCTTGCCAAACCTGCCAAAAGGAGCAAATCCATCTGAGCACAATCCCAGCCGCACATTTCGTGGCTCCATAGCAAACTGAGGATGACAGCGGTCAAAGTGTCTCCAGGCTTCACAGTCCGAAGGGTGAGCCATCATACCCTCGTTGGTTTCGTGCTCAACATGCCATGTCATGTGTTTCGCAGTAGCAGTCGAAGCGTACATCCTCTGCAGTCGAGGAGCTATTGGGAGGTAATACAGTTTAGACAGTGCAGACCTATGTCGTGGTTTCTTTTTACCTTGACGAACAGGTTTGTATCTGTCTCCACCACAGAACTTGCAGAACTCAAGTGTCTCATCCTCCTTCCAGAACAACATACATCCTTCCGGACACGCATCAATTTCAACACAAGGTAGCCCCAACTTAGACATTAACTGCTTCATGTGGTAATATGAATCTGGAAGGGTATGATCTCGTGGTAGCATCCCTCCTACTGACTGCAAGACTCTATTCATGCAAGTTTCAGGGAGACTGTATTCGGCTTTTATGTTCATGAATTCAGTAACGGCGGATAGCTGAGAGTATCCCTCACAATCAGCATACAGAGGTTGGTCGGCAGCTTTTAGAACATCCTGAAATCTCTCAGTCAAACCTTCATCCACATAAGGTTGATAAAATGTCGGATTTTCATCCGCATCTGGTTGATACGAGGTTGAGGCTTCAGGGGGGTCGTTAGGTGGTTGTGGGGGATTGAACTGAGACATCGGTACACCGTATGCGTCATATACCATTTGTTGGTCCCACCTCATTTCAGCACGGTCTCCCCACGCACTCATCTCTGGAGGGACGTAACGAGACGAACCTACCGTTTGTGGTATAACAGATGGATCCAAAGGTTCGCCGTGAGAAGTCCAATTATAATAATTGGGAACAAAACCGACCGCGTACAAATCATACCCAACTTCGTGTGGGTCTTTAAATTTGAGATTTTTACACTTTGAACATGGACATCTTATTTTATCACCACTCATATAAGCCGGATGTTCAAGTGCAAATTCAATAAATTCCCCGACTCCCTCGAGAAAATTTGATTGCATTCCGTACAATACCGCATCTTTATCATACATCCAACTTCTATTTTGTTTATACATTATGCCTGAATATTATAATAAAAAAGTATACACGTTCAAATACTAACAATAATACTAACAAATTTTAAGTGAGTTATTTCACTAAATAATCAACTAACTAATTTTCACTAAATTAAATGAAATGCACACAATTCACAACAATAATTCACAAAATATAAGTAATTACCTAATACTTAAATTTAACTAATATTACAAAAAAATTAAGTAATTTATTAACACTACATTTAAATTAAACATACGTTTAACTAAATTTAACTAATTTATTTAGTTAAATTTAACTAAATTTAACTAGTTCATTCCGTCCTCTTTTAATGCATCACTACGTTTAAACCTACGTTTAGCTAACGAATTTTAATTAAATTATTTTTGTAAACCTACATTTAAACCTAAACTAAATTATTACGTTAATGACATTTAATGTTATTAGTACTACACAATTAACAATTCCAATTCACTAAATTAAATAATATGACCAAATTAAACCCAATAATTTGAACATGTATATAAGGTCATTTGAATTAATAAATAATACACAATTACAATAACAAGTCACAATACACTTAATTAACACATTACTAACGTACGTTTAACTAACTAATTTCAATTAACATAAAGATCACTACGTTTAAAACTACGTTTAGCTAACTAATTTTAATTAAATTATTTTATAAACCTAACAGTTTAACTAATTTTATGACATTACTACGCTTACAGTTGAATATGTTGTTAATTAATTAACAACATCACTAATTTAATAGTTTTAATAATTTAAATTGAACCAACTAATTCTGAATAAAAATAATAATTCAAATAACATACCTTAACTGCATAAATGGGGAAAATGATAGAAGACAGACTACATCCTTCGATCTTTCAAACAGATACTGTATATACTGGGAATGAATTGGTGTGGTTCTGTTGAATGAACTGCTCCTGCATTTATAAAAAATTTAGTCACGGACTTAGTCACGGATTTGTCCGTCACTAAGCAATACCGTGTCCATTACGCGTCCGATCCGTGTTAATGACGTGTAAATGATGTGTAAATCAAAGTAGTCACGGACATAGTCACGGACATGGCCGTGACTAAAATTATCCGTACATAATACCGTTGCGGATTGATTTATGGGAGATGCAAAATTATTTTTTAAATTTAGTCACGGCTGTAGTCACGGATGTGGCCGTGACTATGTCGCCGGAGTAAAACAAGCCAGGCCGGAAAATCAAACGGGCAATCGGAGGATGTTAGTCACGGACAAAAATCCGTGACTACGTGTAGTCACGGCACTAGTCACGGTAAAATCCGTGACTAATTTTTTTTTAAAATTTTCGTGACTAGTCCGTGACTAGTCCGTGACTAGGCTAGTCACGGACCAAATCCGTGACTACGGTCCGTGACTAAACGAGTGTTTTTTTGTAGTGACATAATGTTATATAATACCGAAACTATCACCATTTAAGAATATTGAAACAAATTATAGAAATAATTAATTCATTTCCGACCAATAATATACACACACACACACACACATACAAAGTTAAATACATATACGGAGTATAAGAGATCAAATGCAAACCTCTCATAATTTACAAACTATAAACTAATCTTAATCATCCGATTAGTTTATCTAAAGGTTGTATATGCATGGTGATAATTTGGTATTAAAACCGAAATTTTGGCTCAAATAATTGAAAAACGTATAATCATTGATAAAGTTTTTAATATTGTGTCCAATGTTCTAAAAGGCGCTAGGCGCTAGTCGGGCGCCAGCCCAACGCCTAGCGCCTAGGCGGCTAGGCGGGCGCCTAGTCGGGGACTAGTCGGAAACATAGAAATTGCATTTTTATCTATATTTTGCATAAATATGATAAGTAATATTGTATTTTTGTGTGTATAAAATACATATATACATATACATTAACAAACATGAATGATAGAATTATCACATTTAATCATACGTTGTATATGATAACTAATCACTTAACTTCATTATGTTATAAATATAAATAATGATAAAATTTAGGTATATATGCAAACTATATAGTTTTATCTTAGTTTACAACTTCATTTCTTTATATCCATTGCTAAAGCTAAAATACGTATATCGCTTAGAAAATTAAAATTAAAAAGTGAAGTAATGTTCAACGAATCTAGACGGCCTAGGCGGCCGATTAGGCGCTCTAGCGGGCAACTAAGCGCCATAGGCGGCTGACTAATTCACATAGACGGCAAACCAATTAGTCGGAGCGCCTAGACGAAAATCGGGACGCCCGACCACCACTTAGCGTCTAGGCGGGGACTAGTCGGGTGCATAGAACAATTTTTAGAACAGAGATTGTGTCATAGAAGTAGAATTTAGCTTAAAAAATTGACACCACTCAAATGAATCGTTGGATCCGCCACTCCTTTCAAAGTATGGTCATCCAATATAAAAATGAATGAATTGAAGCCATATGTCCACTCCTAAAAATTTCTTCTTGCATCTTACGTAGTACGTAGTATCTTCTAACATTGCCAATGCCATTTGGTCGATCTCATTGTTCAACATTATGAGTCCCTTCGTTCGTTGACCTCGTTTTTTAATCAATATTATACTATTTCTGTCTCACTAACATCATTGAAACAATAGGGATAACACGATTAAGGATTATTAAGAAAAGTGAGTTTATGTGATTGATATTGAACTGATAAAATAAGAATAAAATAAGAATGATTTAGAGTTACATGAACTTTACCAAACTTGGTCTGAGACAATCTTAGTGAAATTTTCTTTAAAAAATAAAATGAGACAATTTTAGCGAGACTGAGAAAGTATGTATTATTAATCAATTTTTTACCAAACGCGTTACATTTGATTTCGTGTGCTGAGTAGTGTGATAGTTAAAATAAGTAAAGTTAATTATTTTATTCAGCTGAATTGATTGAAAATAATTATTCCTCCCTTTTTATATTTGCTTTCTACTCCGTATTTTGTAAATTACTATGTCTATTTTGAATACTCCGTATAATCTTTTCATAACTCAAACAAACACAATTGCTTCAATTAGCATTTCACAAATATTGATAAATACTCCGCAACATTACTTTCAAATTATCGAGTAATTATTTTACATTTTACTTCGTTCCCAAAATTATCTAATTAATTTAATGTCATTACTATTATATGGCATAACAGTGAAACGCACACGTATGCCTTTGGGTGGCAGACGGAGATGCAATCATTTCTCATGGGATTCAGATGCGGGACAAAAGTTCTCATAAATAATCCCTAAATAACTTCTCACTTTCTTTTTTGGTAGCTCCAAAATTAACTTCACACTTCAAAAACTTTTCTTATTTGGCAAATTTTTTACAACGAAACAATGTCAAACAGTGTCAAACATTGTCCAAACAGTACCAAACATAGTTTAAAGAGTGCAAAATAGTGCACTCCACAATAAAGTCTAATTTATTTTCTTAATCTGTGTGATGTCAAAGTGTGAAGTTAATTGCGGGACGACAGAGGAGTATCATATTCAGGATGAATTCCAAAGCTATTTGTACACCTTTTTTTTTAAAAAAAATAGGCTTAAATTGATAACACATCATTCAGAAAGTAGGTAAACGTAATCGACAAAACACCTGAAAACCGCCATCCCTCGAACCAGATTAAGAGTTTATCACCTCGACAGAAGCAATATAACTCGATAATCCATTAATGAATACAAATGAGCCAAAAACAGTTAACACAACCCTTTCATCACTACATCCAAATCCACAGTCTTACAACAAGAAACATACCAAAAGCAAAAGCAAACATTATGATCAAAGACATTAAAAGGCAAAAAGACAATAAAATAAAACTCTTGCTCCTTCTTCCAGAGCACCACTTCCAACCACGTTCCGGAACCTCCTATCTGTTTCTGATACTCCGGCGGCAGTTCAGGAGGAGGACGAGTCGGCGGTACTATAGTTTCTTCCTCATGGTGCCTCTTATTCATCACGTTCTCTGTCGAGCCTCCACTTTTGCCACCAATCACATATGATCTTGAATTCAGATCTGTTCCAGCTTTTAACCACAAGCTTCTCCCATGACCTTTACCCGATGGCGTCATCCTTTCACTATTGTTGTCTCTGTTTCTTGTTCGCACAAAAAAAACTTGTCGCAGGAGAAACTAACTCTGAATCGAAAAGCCGCCCAATCAATCAGATCGGCGAAAGAACTAAAACCCTAACTAGAGTGACAATGACCGCTTCATATGAAATTGAGACCTTAATTAGAAAGATGATGAATTAGTTAGAAGGCCGGAGTAGAGCCAGAAGAGCGGCAATGGCCGGGAGGGAAAGGATGAGAAGAGTGCGTTATTCATACACCTTTTAATCATTCATTTTTGGATAGTTGCATAGTGCACTCATATGATCTCCATTTGATCATTATACATGCTTTTTCATGTTCATACTCCCATATTCTATTAACCTGCAGCGCAATAAACTTTTGCATTCTTTGAATTATGTGAAAAAATAAAAATAACAAAAATTGTGCGGTTGAAATTTGTGCAGAACAATGAGAAATTAGCAGAACACAAAATAGTTACTCTAATATGAAAGACAATACTCTTTGAAACAACCAAAAAGAGAATTTGGCAAAGTCCAAAGCGACGAAGGGAGTATCTTATTTTAATTTAATATAACTGTTAATAAAGTAGTTTTAAAGTAAAAGTTATACTCCCTTTGTCCCTAAAAGAAGTTCTTTTTTGCTTATCGAGGGTCAACTTAAATCACTCTTAAACTCTTACTTTTTATATCAAAATTTTATAAAAGGTGAATTACTTTTTGCAGGCTTTGTAGCGGGTTTAATGTAGTTTCTGAATATGTAAATTTTATTTACTAAAAATAATCCGAGTTTTCACAGGGATCATTTAACTTTATCGTCGGTCAACCTTCGTAATTCGCAATTGGAACAACATTTAGGGACGGAGGGAGTAATTGAGATTTGAATATTATAAAGTGAAATGATATGAAACACATATTTTTATTATAAAAGAAAGCATGACTCTTTTTTAGATAACCTACAAAGAAACGTAAAACAACGGATTAAAGGAGTATCTATGGTAAACTTATGGCCGTGTCAACCGATTAAACTTATGTGTATATTTGTTTAACGAATTGTCTGTGTAGATAGAAAAATTAAGGTGTACAATTAATATGTACAAATAAGCATACAATTATACAAATGGCTACACAAAATGTTTTTTTCATGTGTGTACGAAGTAATATATATATATATATATATATATATATATATATATATATATATATATATATATATATATATATATATATATATATATTCAGCTATCAATTTGTGCCTGATGCTTACAATAACAATCATATATCTGATTCCAAACTTAGGATGTTTTTACTTGGACTGTAATTTGTTGGTCTGGTCTGAAGAGGTCTGGTCTGGCCTGATTTCTTTGTATTTTTATAACTACCCAAGTCTGATCTGATCTGGTCTGGTCTAGTCTGGTTTGGTCTGGGACAGATTACAGTAAAAACACCCTTATTACTTGTATATTCCATCCTATTAACAACATCTTGCCATTCATACATACATACGGAGTATTATAATTAAAAAAATGCCCTAATGGTGATGGTATCATTATTCTGTACAGTGGATAAATAAGACAATTACACAATCCCCGTTCCTTGCCAATTTTTCAGAATGGGTGTTTAATACTCGTACTTCGTATTAACAAAAAATCCAGGAAAGGTCTAATGTTGTTTTTTGGGTTATTCACATAATGTGACAAATAATTTTTAACAAGAACATGACATTTGGACACATGTTTGGTCTCCGTCTATTTCAGTAAATCTTTCTCAACTCGAAAGTCATATCGCCCACCCCAAACGCTCTCATACTCCCGTCCAACAAAACAATGAATGAATAAATCAACGTATGATCTCAAACAGTGTGAAACTTTCGCATTGCCACTGCCGGTGATTCTGCATGAAATCTCATTCCAACTATCTCACTCTGTCACCACTGAGTTACCATGCTGATATCAGTATATCTTTCTCACATACTCGTCTGAGATGATAAATTTTTTTATATTTACTAAAATACGGATTTTGGTTCAAGTTGATGCAAGTTAATTTTAATAATACTCCCTCTTCTTTTGTAAATAATTTTTATTTTAATCTCATACACATACACATATCCATCCAACAATTAGGTCAAGTGCAATATTTATGATCATGGTGGTACGTGATGGTCCAGAGCGAAACCAATCATTATTGGCGAGCTATTCTAATAATGCATGGCAACAACCAAAATTGAGTGACTGGGGATTTTAATATGGCCTAAATATATATATTCAATCATATATTGCCCCCAGCCCCCAACCCTACTTTCTTTAATTTACTCGTATATTTTAAACAAGTAGCAACCCTTATCATCATAAATAATCTTGGCCTCCTCCAGGGTGCCCAGACACGAAATTAGAAAGTGCGTGGTCGACTAATCCAGCGTTTAATTATTTAATTAATTGATCAATCAACGTAACGGTATAAATCAAAATGGCTGTTTTAAAGGAGTCGAGTTCATGTTGAATGGGCCGGGTTCGGGTTTGTCTCCTGCCCAAATGGGTAATCCCGTAAGAATTTGATTGTAAATTTAGAATGTTTTTATTTAGATTGGAATTTTCTAGTTTGAAAATTCCATATGAAAACAGTGTTTAGACTCCTATTCTCTGCATCCCAACATCGTCAATAAAATACACTCAGCATATTTTTTCACATATCAATTTAGTAAAACATTAATTAAATTATTATAAGTAATATTATTGATTTAATTTTTCCCTAAATAATTATGAAATAAAAAATACATATTTCGATGTAAAAATAAATAAATTTCGTTAATTTTTCTTTTACATTTTTCGGTTTACAAAAAATGAACTTAGTCCAAGTAAAGTTTTATTATGGAATATTCATTTATTTGTAGAGGCTCCATGTATTAAGAATTTGTGTTTTGTGTTTTTTCAGGCTCAAGAAACCTCCAATAGTTAAAATTTAATATATTTTTTTTCATTTTATATATTACATGTTGGTGTCATATGAAAGATAATAAAAATTCATAAATTTTGATATATCTTTTGAAAAATTTGAAGAACACATAAAAAAGTTATGAGAGTTTTAAAAATTTTGGGATTATAATGATGTGGGGATGACATCATCCTCACATCCATACAATGCATTCTCGGTCATTCCCTTTCTTGTTTCTTTTCTTTTTCTTTTTTCCACTCCTACCAACCCACCCTCTATTTCTAACACCCTCCATCCCCTTTTCCACTTTTAATACCCTATTTAGCCTACCACTACATGAAATTAGGAGTCCAAAAAATCCATCTTTAACATTTTGGACTCCTAATACTACACCACTCCAAATGGCCTTATAAAGTCAAATTTCAACTCTTGGGGAGAATTGGTTAGGGGTCCGGAGGTTTTGGAAAATAATTTGTCTTAGTTTATAAATTTAGTGTTTCATCCAATGTTGACTGCATTGGTTGATTCTACTTAAATTTATGAGGTTCTGCTTGGAGTGAGTGCATTGAATGATTCTGCAAATATTAGAACAAGAAAAATTATAAATAAAATAAACAAATATATATATGAAAAAACAACTAAAATGATCCTCTACAGCAACTTCAGTCAATACATCCTGAAAAGTAAATCAAGCCTTACATTTTCTTATTATTAGACCATTCATTGCGCGAAACCAAAAGTTATGTGTTTGGTGAAAATGTTGGCTGATAATTCGATAAACAGGGTCACCAAACGGGTTCTCTATTTTTTATTTATAAATTTATTCAATTGCATTTTATTATATTTGAATTTGTTTGTACTTCAAGAAAATTTTAAAATAATTTCTGAAAATGCAACATTTTATTCATGATCATCATTTAGATATTATCATTTGACACTTATTTTTTATCAATAACTACCTAATGTAAATCGAATCATTGGCTATAAATTGCAATAAAGAGAATAGCTTTAGAGCCTGTTTGATAAGACTAAAATTGACCAAATCTATTGAAATTAGTGAAATTCTGATTAAAGTAGCTTAATATGCTAAAAGGTGGAAAAAATACATGCATTTTATTTAAAAAAAATTAAAAAAAAAATAGCTAAAGTGATGCTTTACAGTAACTCTAGTCTATTCAGCTAGTAAAATAAGTTCAACTTTACTTTTTTAAATTATTACATATATAGACACACAAAATTAAAAGTTATTTATTTGATAAAAAATAACTTATAGGACTGATAAGATGAAAATAGGAGTAATATGGTCTTAATCTTCTACTCCCTCCCTCCCATTTTGGTTGTCCCAAAATGAATGTTTTGTTTCCTTTTTTGGCAAGAAATATGTGGTTCTTATCATTTCATTTTATTCTACTCAAATCTCAACCACAACTTTTACTTTTCAATCACTTCATTAATAGTTGTGTCAAATTGAAAGTGAACAATCAATATGGGACGGAGGTAGTATTATACATACAATGATACATGTACGTACTAATTTTTTTCATAAATACTATCGTTAATTCTATTTCTATATATCTATATATTTTTATCTCTAAAATAATCACATTCACGTACAGATCCAATGTCCTTTTTTTCACAATCAATTGATCAACAAGTTGACACAACATAGGATAGGAAAAAAAATCATCCGTATAAAGTACAAATATTATTATAGATTTATTATAGAAGTGATGTACAAATACCTATACCGTAACTTTATCTAAATATCTTACGAGTACTTCTTTTCCCCGGTTCCTGTGTGGCGGTGTATATTCAAAAAAATCTGCTAATTGACATAATAATCAGTTTCATTTACAAAACCAGATAGACTTTGGCCCATAATGTCTCCTCTTTGTAAATACGTTTACTCCGTATAACATAGGGAATGCATTGTACGTTGGGGTTTTGGTCAAAATACGCTCAATGCCAACGGTCTAGTCAAGACTATTTTTTTTGTAAAAGGGTCATATAGGCCCTCGGACTTACATAAAAAGGTCAAATAAGTCCTTATATAGGAGGCTCTATCCGGTCGTCGCCATTTGGAGCGGTTTCAAGTAGAATTTTTTTAGCATCTTATTCATTAGGTCTAGTTTAGTCATACCAAATTTCAGCTAAAACTTCAACCGGAAGGCATTCAAATGAATTCTTGAAAAAACTTCGTGAGTAAACTAGACTTAATGAATAAGATGCTCAAAAAATTTCAACAAAAAATTCCACCGGGAACCGCCCCAAATGGCAACGGCCGGACAAAGCCTCCTATATAAGGGCTTATTTGACCTTTTTATGTAAGTTCGAG